CCCCCCCCCCCCTTCCCCCTAGTACCTACTTGTTTACTGTAAATCCACCTATCATCCATTTTTAGATTTTTACATACTGAAGCAACAAATTTTTCTTTTTTCTTAGTTTCAGAAAGGAATATGATGTCACGGAGGTGAACCCTAAGGGTTTCTCGCAATTGGAAAATTGTAGAGGGTCCTCACAAACCTCTACAATTCCACACACATACTCTCATTTCAACCCTTGGGACCAATTAAGGTTGGTCCTCTCCACCCCATGATTTTCCTCATTATCCCTAATTTTGAATTTCTTATTATTATTTTTACCAAAAGCCTTATCAGAATAAGAATGATTAAGAAGACAATCATCCAATGGTCTTTTACTAAGAACTGAATGCACTCTATCAGACTCTATTATTATTCTGTTACTATCCACATCCATACTGGCAGACTCATTAGAAACATGACCCTCCAGTTTCCTCATCATGGGCTTTTTTCTTTTTGGAAATTTCCCTACTATCTGAGGAAGCTGGCTAAACTACCACTTCTACCAGTTGAGTTTCTCCCTTAACCCTGTCCAAAGTAGTGTGACTCACATCAATAAGGAGAGGATCAGGAATACTCCCAATCTCTTTCCTTTTTTGTAATTTGATCATCTTTATCGCCCCATTCCTTATCTTTCGGCTGCTCTGACTGAGTGGGGGTCACCTCTCCTTGAGGTTTCTCCTCCTCTTCCCTTAATACCCTCATTTCCAGTGTCTTGGTTAGATGATTTTTTTTTAATCACCTTCACTCAAGTCCCCAGAACCTGAGGATCTATAGGACCTAGACTCATTGAAAAAAGTAAGACCTACCCTCAGCCATTCCCCAAATTGCCCCAAGTTAAGTACATTTCTAGCTAGGTCATCTTTTTTATTAAAGCATTTTTTATCAATGTGACCAACCAGACCACAGTAGAAACAGAAAGATTGGAGGTTCACATACCTGAAACACACCCACTGGTTTCTGCTTCCAACCTGATTTTTGTGCCTCTGGGTATTGGATCTCTTAAGTTTAGTTCCACCTGCACCTTCATTATGTGTCCATTAGAACTCTCTGCACTAGGCACCAGCACATCAATAACTCTCCAAACCCAGGTCTTTGGTTGTCCAGTGTAGCGGAAGATTGTGTATCCGGACCCATATCTTCACTTTCTCATCCTCTTCAAAGAACTCTTGTGCTTAAGGTTTACAGTCTTTCAGCAAAATATATTGTCCATCAAATGTTCAGCCTTTTCCTTGTAGTATCCTCTCCTTGTCTTCCTTTGACTGGGAACATAAATTGAAAAAGATTTGGGCCTATGTTCTTAATATAGAACTGCTCCTTCGTCACCCAAATACTATTTAGTGTGGCCTTCAACCCATTGTAATTTGCCTTTTTTTCCCCATATATCTTTCCCAGAAGGCACTGTCGACACTCCTTCAAACCTTCTTCTATATCCGCATCTGAAATCTCCAAACCCTTCTTCTCCTTTTCCGGTAGCCAGAACTTTCGCAGCTTATCCAACAAATCCTCAGCCTTCGAGATTCAGAACTATCCAGTTAGCCAGGTATTGATGGTAATTGTGCTTAATCACAAGAGAAAGAGAACCAGAAAAGCAAACACGAAGCTTATTTAACGCCACGAGTGCTAACACACATAAATTGCAATAGAGAAAGGGACTAAACACGAGAGATAGACTAACCCTAATTGCGAAGAACAAACCCTAGATATATATATATATATATAAAAAAAAAAAAAAAAAAAAAAAAAAAAAAAAAAAAAAAACCTATCCTCTATAGTTACTACCAGCAGATTACTAACAGACTAAACAGGAAGGAAGAAAAAGAAGGAGAATCAGAATTGAAGAGAGTGGAGAACGCTCTCTCTTCAAGTCAACTATCCATTTATTTGTTTATATTATTTATATTTATCTCTCCATCTCCTTTTGGCCTTTGCTCTACTCACTCTATACATATTGAAACAGAAAAATTAATTATGCTCTGTTCAACTTACGCCAACATGAACCAGGTGCACTCTAATGCCTCATTTGTTTTTAATCACCACTTGTTTATTCTGTTGTCTGACTATATTTTCGTTACCATTAAAAGAAAAAATGAACAAAGGTGAGACCTTGTGATATTTGCTGGAAAAAAGAGAGAAAAAATAACTTCAAGGGCTGCTTAAACCTTTCATCCCCCGCAATGTCCTCGTCGCCCTTACCATCGAGATCTCAAGGCTATCGGAGAGCATTCGATGGGTGGCTCCCTCGACGGCATCAACTTTCTGCTACGCTCTGACTTCCTTGCGGAGCATGCTGCCACCTACATGGTCGCCGACGGTGACGGAGGGGGGTCTCCCCGGAGCTCCGTGCCTTCCTGCGGGACAACTGGTCGGAGGGCGGAGGCGGCTTTTGTAGAAGCGTTCCGGGCTGGGGCCCGACACTTTGCCAACGAGGCACGACTTTGCCAACCAAGCTTCCGCCACCGGTCGTCCGCACATGTCTGGCGCCGCTCGGGCTCCACCTTTCGTGCAGCAGGCAAAAAATTGGAGTTCACGCATCTACCACCGTCGTCGAGGGACAAATGGCGTCTTTTGGTTGTGTTGCGATGGAGGACGAGTCATGATGAAGGATGGGAAAGCCAAATCATGCAGGTAAAAAGGACGGGCCTCGTGAGTGGCTACAGGGGCCCGACCATATGTGTGCGTCGTGTCTTTCTTGAATGTTCGCCTCATTTGTCCACGGGCCCGCAAGTGCAAAACGGTTAATCGTGCTTATTGTTCTCCTCACGTTGTTGTTGTTGCTGCTGCTGGTTGTCTCGAGCATGCTCGGGCAGATGAAACGGGAATGGAAGTAGTATGAGAGGCCGTCTTTTATGAATGCAAAGACAACTATTTTTTATTGCTCTTCATTTTTGTTCTTTTTTTTTGGAAAAATATGTGAAATTATAGAAATAACCTTAAAAATCAGCTATTTTTAGTCAAAACCACTGTTATAACCAGTTTAAGAGGCAATTTAACAAACCCGTATAGTTCAATGGTGGTTTGTAAAAAATAAAAGAATAATGGTAATGGGCGAAAATCGTTATAGTTCGAAAGATAAAAAGTTTTTTTCCCTTAATTATAACTAGTGGCACACATTCACACGTCACCTTCCTCAGACATTCACACCTAATTCATATTCATCATTTGTCACCAATGTCATCTACGAATGGGATTTATTTATGCTGAAAAGGGAAAAATCACGATTACCGTAAACACCATTTTTTCCTTGGGATTAACAAATCAACGAAAATTGGTGTTATATGAAAATGGTAAGTAATGTTCTTCACTTGCTAGATAATAATATTTATGTCACACGGCCCCAACCAAATCGGACTCAGCATTGGCTCTTTCCTTCTACGCATGTTGGCCTTGTACGCATGCGTTAGCGACTCTAGAACTCGATGGCCAACTCAAACAAATCGTCACATTCTCGATTGTTTCTATTTTTCCGAGTCCTTGTTAGTGAGATCAATCGAAATAATTATTTTAGTCCTTAAAATTTGTATTATATAATTGTTATATAGAATAGTTTGAAAATAATTGGATAAATTTCTCTAGATAGAAGAATAATTGGATAAACTTCTCTAGATAGAAGAGAACAAACATATATAGATGTCCCCATAACAACTCGATCTCAATAAAGACTAAAACCAAACCGTTCGAAGTCAGGATGTATATGTCTAATGCTTTGGATTCCTAAAGAAAGTCGAACAACTAAGAGTCGAACAACATGCCCCAAAAACATGGGCACCAAATCTTCTTGTGCAGAAAGAATGGAATATATAATACTCTGCATTCGCCCATACCTTGCTTTTGCAGTTCAAACGAGCTATGACATGTACATTTCGGGCTTCAACATGCCAACATACGGCAAGTTCCTGTACACCTCAGCATAATCCAGCCCATAACCCACCACAAAACCATCCGGGCACTGTCATCATATGCAAACATATGTTCGTTCATAGTGCAGATAACAAATTCAATAATAAGAATCAAATTCAGACATATACATACAAATGGATGCATAACTTGGCACGTATGCATATATTGAATATGAAAAATCAAATAAACTTTTGTCGTATTCCGGTAGCTGGAGTTCAGGGAGAATATAAAAATAGAGCGGCTATTGGCGTTATTTGTCTTATTTACAACACAACGTAGGAAAAGGTGTCGAGTAAGCCATACATATATAAAAAAGAAAACAAAAAAATTGCATGCAAAAAGAGATGCTTTACGAGTTTGAGATATCACCTCAAAGCCACTGTAGTACTTCCCTTCACCGACTAGTTCAAAATCGACTTGCCTTCCTGCCGGTTTATCGAGAAGCGTGCAGACAGATACTGATGATGCACCTTTAGTTGTCAAGTATTCAATTAGAAGAGCCAAAGTTCTCCCAGTATCTACAATATCCTCAACCTAGGCAAAGAAAAACAAAATGCTATTAGCAAAGCTGCGTAAAATTAACAATACTAACAGAGGACTTTACGAAAACTAGTTCTGGTCGGATATTGAAGAAGTACTTCAATAACCAAATTACAGCATTCGCGCAAATAGCACATGGAAATACAAATGGATGAAGTTATACTAGAGAGAGAAGAAATGTGAGTGGACGTAAAATGCAACTATTTTTAATCATTTCAATGGACCGTTTAACTTATCTCAAACAAACAGAGGATCATTGTTTTGTTTTTGAAATTATGTAAAGAAATCCTTAGTGTCCCATCCTTCTAATTTTGCATCACATCATACATAGAAGAGAAGAGAGAAACTGAGTGAAAACAGAGGTTGTCCTCAAATACCAATTTTTTTCGATTTTCTTCCCGCTAGAGAAATGTTGTTACACCAAATGCAGTTGCAAAGAAAAGTTTCAGGAAAAATACTATTCACGCACTTTCTCGACAACCATTCCACTAAATTTTCGAACTACCATCAAATCACTATTCGTTACACTTTTCAAAAAGTTTCACAATTCGCGAACTCACATATTTCACTTGACGATCACTTTGAATCACTATTTTACTATTGTAACATAAGATAAACTCTCTGCACGACATTTTCATCTCAGTTTCAATCCCTTTCAAATATCATACATTTTCTTCAAATACTTTTCCGTCTCTAACTTCCCACAAAGATAGAAACTTTCCACAACGAGATACCATCCAAAAACAATTTGATTTTTCCCAACCTTGCCAATTGCGAACATAACCCACAAATATACATTTGCGAACTAAGTCAGATACACCAAAAGTAGCAATGTCTTCTAGAATAACTATTACCGGGACGAACGCATCAACTTTGCAACATCAATACCTTTGTAAGATCATAGATAAAAAGAGCAAAATTATGGTTTCAAAAACTAGGTTTTAGAAGTAAGAAAATGGGCAGTCTCTAACAAATCTTCAAAATGAAATCAAAATCATCACTAAAAATATCATTTCTATTAAATTAAAAACAAATCTCAAGCTACACATCTTAAATGGTTACACTCCAGACTCCTTATTTTTCACTAACTCGAGCCAAGCATACATACAATCTGTCTGCTACATTTCTGTCGAGGACTAAAGTTAGCTATATCGCACCTTAAATTTTCTCCATTGTAAATTCATCGAACACATCAAAGACATGGAATCAAATCGCATAGATCTTTCCCCTCGCTTGAAAACTGACATAAAAAATATACAAAAAATAAAAACTAAAAAACAAAATTTACAAGACAATGAATCCATCAGTCCCTTACCAAAACGACGTGACGTCCTCGAATATCGACTTTCAATGTGGACGAAATCGTGGGTCGGCCATTGGAGACCGTTCCCGACCCATACGACTCGACCCGAATCAAGTCCACGGCAACGTTCAGGCGAATTTCACGGACAAGGTCGGCCAGGAACAGAAACGCGCCGGTGGCGACGCCCACAATCACCGGAGGAGATGCCGGCGATCTGAAATCGCCGGTTATTTGGGAGCCGAGTTCGGAGACGCGCGCCCGTATTTGCTGCTCGGTGAAGATGACTCTCTCAATGTCGCCGTGAAAATCCATGGACGCCGGCGGAGTAGCACCTTGACCGCGCTCAGGGTAGAAAAAAAAAATTGGTGTGTGCGTGTGTGTATGTGTTTTGGGGGCTGGGGCGCAAATATCTAGGTGTGTCGGGACACACTGTGGTGAATGCACGTAAAAAAAAGAGTTTTATCAATACAAAACCTGAAAGATGGGTAAACTATCAATGCGGGGTCTGAAAGATTTTTTTTTCTCAATTCGGAACTTAAATGTTATAAAACTATCACATTAAAGACCCGAAGATGGGTAAATTATCAATACGGGGCCTGAAAAATTATTTTTCTCAATTCGGGACTTAAAGGTTATAAAACTATCAAATTAAATATAGAATTAAAAAAACACATAACAGAATTAAATCTAAACTTTAAAAAAAAAATAATATTTAGTTATTATATTTTATTTTCATATTCATTTACATTTTTTAAAATTTTGCATTCTTTTATCAATTTTTCTAGTTATTAACTCACTTTTTCATTCAAACATTTTTACATAATTTATAACCATTCGTACTCTTGAATGTTTATAATATTATTATCCTCATAAATATTTGTGTTTGTTGTTAAAAAGAATAAAAATAATAATTATATTAAGTAAATAATTAATATGATTTTTATATTTAAATTCACTATTATGCTTATTGAAATTTCATTCATAAGCATTGATAGTTTATAAATGTGAATGAATATGAAATAAAATCTAATTATTAAATATATTTTTTTAAAAAAATTTAATCACCAATCTTTTGTTTTTTTTTTTTAATTTTAACACTAAATTTAATGGTGTTTTGAGTTTTGTTAATTCTAAACTTAATTTGATAGTTTTATAATATTTAAGTCCTGAATTGAGAAAAAAAAAATCTTTCAGGCCCCGCATTGATAGTTTACCCATCTTTCGTGTCTTTAATTTGATAGTTTTATAACATTTAGGTCCTGAATTGAGAAAAAAAAAATTTCAGGCCCCGCATTGATAGTTTACCCATCTTTCAGGCCTTGTATTGGTAAAACTCCTAAAAAAATGAGGGTGGCCTTAAAAGGAAATTCTTGTCCAAAATAATGTCCCACGCGCAAAGAGAGAAAGAGAGAAAAAAAAAAGGCGGTAAAAAGTTCTACTTCCTTCCGCCAAAATTGGGCTCATTTTTTAAGGCAAAAAGTCCTCTTTTACTCCAACTCTTCTCTTCTGAAGGCGATTGTCGATTTTATCTTCTGCAAAACTGAATTTTCCGATGGTCATATTAGAATATGTAGACGCAGCCCCTGGGTTTGTAATCTTGAAAATGAACATGTTCATTTTAATCTGAAGAATGAACGTGTTCATTTGTAAGATGGAAGTGTAGTTGGGTCTTCCAATCTGGAAAAAAGTACAGTTGGGTCTTACAATCCGGAAACAATTTCTTTATTTGAGGATGAACATGTTCATTTTAATGAAACTGCTGTAATATCGATTGATGAAGACGATGAACATGTTGATTTTGGAGGTGGAAGTGTAGTTTGGTCTTCCAATCTAGAAAAAAGTGTACTTGGGTCTTGCAATCCGAAAACAATTTCTTTATTTGAGGATGAACATGTTCATTTTAATGAAATCGCTGTAATATCGATTGATGACGACGATGAACATGTTGATTGCAATGAAACCGCGGTAATATCCATTGATGAAGCCAATAATTCTGTGGTTGAAACGGGTGAAGGCGCAGGTAATTCAGAAAACATGTCCATTCTACAATCACATATGTTTATTTCATAATGAAATATACTCATATAAACATGTTCATTTTTGTATATAAACATGTTCATTTCATTTTGTAGAAAGTTTATTTTGGTTTTAAACATGTTCATTTCATTTTGTTTTTACACATGTTCATTATTTATATAAATATGTTGATTTAGTTATTAAACATGTTCATATATTAAATAGATGTTTATTCTTTTTGTTTTGGAAAAGTTCGATATGAAATGTATACATGTTCATTTCTTAACTCAACATATTCATTTCTTAACGGAACATATTCACATTTTTGTAGAGATCGATGATGAAAAATTGCTTGGGATGAAATTTAATTCCTTGGAAGATGCTTATGAAGTCTACAATTCATATGCAAAGAGACATGGTTTTGGAGTTAGAAAATCCAGGTCAAGAAAGAAGAAGGATGATATTGTATATCGCAAACAATTTTGTTGCAATAAGCAAGGGTTTAAAAGCAAAGTGGGCAAAGAGAGGAGTTATACAAAATTAGAAATGCGGGTTGGTTGCAAGGCAATGATTCAGCTTCTTTTTTATGGTGCTAATTGGATAGTGGAGCAAGAAGTGGATCAACACAACCATGAGTTAGTTCCATGCAATCAAGTCTGCTATTTTCGCTCTCACAGGGATATGCCTTCGAATGATGAAGCATATTTGTCACAATTAAAAGCTATTGGAGTTGGTGTTACCGCTGGTTATAGGGTTCTTTTGGATCAAGCTCGTGGTGTTCAAAATATGCCATATACAATAGTTGATGCTCGTAACCACGTTGCAAAGCTTGAACGGATAATTTGGGAAAGCGGTGATGCAAATGGCCTACTTAATATATTGAAAGAAAGACAGGTCCGGGAAGATGGATTTACTTTCATTATGATCTGAATAAGGAAACAGCATCATTGTGTTCCATTTTTTGGAGAAATTCTCGCATGAGGAAGGATTATGAGGTGTTTGGTGATTTAGTTGTATTTGATACTACTCATAGGACAATTAAGTACAATCTTGCATGTGCTCCATTTACAGGGATGAACCATCACAAGAGAAACATTATGTTTGGTGTTGGTTTTTTGCTTCATGAGGATAAGGATTCATTTCAGTGGTTGTTGGATGAATTTCTGAAGTCAATGGGTGGGAAGCAGCCTGCCACAATATTGACCGATGAAGATGCAGCCATGACAGCTGCAATTCCATTGGTGTTAATGCAATCCCGACATCGCTTATGCACCTGACATATTGACGAGAATTCAAAAAAGCACATTCAGTATCTTCGGATAATGCCCGGTTTCATCAATCTTTTTCATTTGGTTTTGAGATCAACGGACACAATACCGGAATTCAATTTTTATTGGAAAAAGTGAGTTATTCAATTTATATTTGAACATGTTCATTCTACAATTACACATGTTCATGATTTTATTTTTGTAGAAAAAGTTAATTTTGTTTTAAATATGTTCACTTTGTATACAAAAATATTCATTTATTTATTAAACATGTTCACTTTGTATAAAAACATATTCATTTAGTTATTAAACATGGTCATTTTGTATATGAACATATTCCTTAGGTATAAGAACATGTTCATTAGACATGTTCATTGTTTATACATATTCATTTCATACTGTAACATTGTTCTTGATACTTCAAGATGCGTGATACATACAATTGTGCTGATGATAAATGGCTAAAGCGGTTGTATTCAAATCGTCACAAGTGGTGTCCAGCCTTTAACAAAACTCATTTCTCTGGTGGTATATTGTCATCCCAAAAGAGTGAATCAACAAACAACTCAATTTCGGCGAAACTTCCCAAGACTGCTCGATTGTGTGGCTTTTGTTCTCATTTTGTCAAAGTTCTTGAGGAGTGGAGAGAGAAGGAGAATAAAGATGACTTTCGGTGCAACAACGGCCATGTGGAATGTCAATTCCCTGATAATTCTCTGCTCCTTAATGTTCGTGAGTTGTACACAATTGAAGCATATATTCATTTTGAGCAACTGTATATAGCTGCAATTTCGTGCAAGATGGAAGTCGTTGGAGCACCACAAAGCATTGGAATTGGAAATAATGGGAATGTTGTTTTATGCTATGTTCAAAGGGCAAATGTGAATGTGTTCAAGCACCAAGTAAATTTCAACTTAACTTCTCATGAGGTTAGGTGTTCATGTGATTTGTTTTCGGAGGTTGGTTTTCTTTGCTGCCACTGTCTTAGGGTGTACATCGTTTTTAATGTCGAAAGAGTTTCGGATATGTATGTACATCCAAGGTGGCGTCGGAATGCCAATTTGAACTGTCGTTTAGATTTGGAGGGAACCCAATATTCTACGAGTTACCATGTGCCAGGTACATATTCATTAAACAATAGAACATGTTCATTTAGTATTGAAGCATGTTCATGTCTTACTGAAACATGTGCATGATATTCATTATGCAATAGAACATGTTCATTTAGTACTGACTACATGTTCATTACTCAATCACATATGTTCATGTCAGGTGCATGCCTTTGGAGATCCGACAAAATATGTCAGTTTCTGAAGATTGTTTCATCAAGTGAAATTGATCAAAATGCCAAAGATATTGTTGATGAATGTTTGAGATCCATGTCTGATCGGATAGAGTCTCATTATTCTTCATTAGCTACAGATGAACTGTCTTGTACCGCGAAATCTTCTACCGAGAATGTTAACGATCCAGAGAAATTGAGGCCTAGAGGAGAACGAAACATTCGACGGAAAAGTACTGTGGAGAAAATTTCAAGACAATGAAAGGGAAGCACAAGAAACAACCTTCATTGAGGAATAGGAACACCATGTTTAACTTGGTCTTTTCTATAAACCCTGACTTTGTTGGACGGTTTGTGCATCCTTTTCCTCCTAACCAAGATTCTCAACATGACACTAGAGGTTTTGGATACAATCATCCGGACATGAACATGGCCTCTGAAATTGAACATACCTTTTGTTTTCTATGAACATGTTTTGTTTTCATATGAACATTTGTCTTTTAAAGATGCACATGTTTATTAACCCGATGAATATGTTGATTTTGCACATGCTGTATGTTGATTTTGTAAGTAATGTGTTTCTTAACTTGATGCATTTGTTTATTTATAAAATAAACATTTCAAATTATGAGATGAATATGTTAGGTTATGAGATGATTATGTTTATTAGCAAGATTAATATGTTGATATTCTATAAAGGAATATGTTAATTAACATGAAGAATATGTTTATTTTTAAAATGAACA